AGGGGGGGGTCCTCCCCCCCCCCCTCCCTTCCCCTTGAGGAGCGGGGGGGGGAGTCCGGACCCCCCCCACCCCCCTCCCCCCCTTGGCGCTGGAAAGGGGAAATTGTTCGGACCCCCCCACCTCCTCCCCTCTGCGCCGGAAAAGGAGCCGGGGAGGGGGCCTCTCTCGCTTCTCCTTTCTGCGCCAGAGAAGGTGTGAAGGGAGTACGGAGTTGGGAGTAGGGAGTAGTGAGTTAGTGCGTAGTGAAAAGTGAGTATTGGGTAGTGAGTAGTGGGTAGTGAGTGGCGAGTAGGGAAGAGAGAGTACAAGTGGGGAGTAGTGAGTAGTGAATAGTGAGTAGTGTGTACTGATAGGTGAGTAGTGAGTAGCGAGTAGTGAGCAGTGAGTAGTGAGTAACGAGTAGCGAGTAGTGAGAACTGAGTAAGGAGTAGGGAGTAATGAGTAGTGGGTAGTGAATAGTGGGTAGTGTGTAGTGGGCACTGAGCAGTGATTAGTGAGTAGTGAGTAGTGAGTAGTGCGTAGTGAGTAGTGAGTAGTGAGTAGTGGATAGTGGGTAGTGAGTAGTCAGTAGAGAGTAGCGAGTAGTGAGTAGTGAGTAGTTACTAGTAAGTAGTGACTAGTGCGTAGTGAGTAGTGAGTGGTGATGAATAGAGAGCTGCGAGTAGTGGGCAGTGGGTAGGGGAATAGTGAATAGCGAGTAGGGAGTAGCGAGTAGTGAGTAGCGAGGAGCGAGTAGGGGGTAGTGAATAGTGAGTAGGGAGTAGTGAGTAGTGGGTAGTGAGTAGTGGGTAGCGAGTAGGGAGTAGCGAGTAGTGAGTCGTGAGTAGTGTGTAGGGCGTAAGGAGTAGTGAGTAGTGATCAGTGAGTCATAAAAAAAGGGTAGCGAGTAGTGGGTAGCGAGTAGCGATTAGTGAGTAGTGGGTGGTGACTGGTGACTAGTGACTACTGAGAGACCAGTGACTAGTGAGTAGGGGGAAGTGAGTAGTGGGTAGCGGGGAGTGAGTAGTTAGTATTGCGTAGCGAGTATGGGAGTAGCGAGTAGCAAGTACTGAGTACTGTGTATTCAGTACTGTGTAGAGAGTAGGGAGTAGGGAGTAGTGGGTAGTGAGTAGTGAGTTGTGGGCAATGAGTAGTAAGTAGTGAGTAGTGCGTAGTGGATAGTGGTTAGTGGGTAAAGAGTAGTGATTAGTAAGTAGTGAGTAGTGAGTAGTGATTAGTGCGTAGTGAGTACTGAGTAGTGGGTAGTGAGGAGTGAGCAGTGAGTATGGAGGAGGGAGTAGCGAGTAGGGAGTAGGGAGTAGCGAGTAGTGGGTAGTGGGTAGTGAGTAGTGGATAGTGAATAGTGAGTCGTGAGTAGGGGGTAGTGAGAAGTGAGTAGTGAGTAGCGAGTAGTCACTAGTGGGTAGTGAGTAGTGAGTGATGAGTAGTGAGTGCTCTTTGGGTCTGGGGTTAGGGGTTGGGGTTCGGGTTTTGGGTTAGGGTGGGGACTAGGGTTGGGGGTGGCGGGGGTCGGGTTCCGGAGTCAGTGGCGCGGCGTGGCGAAAGGAGTGGAGGGGGGGGGGAGGGTGCGGCCAAAGGGGGGAGGGGGGGAGGGGGGTCCGGACCCCCCACCCATTTTAAAAGGGGGGGAGGGGGGGGAAGGTTCGCGAACAGCAAATCGAGATGCGAATTACGATCGGACGTCGCCGCAAGCACATTGCACAAACCGTGCACGCTGTCAAGTGCAGCGATGGGTCGCGCGAGGGAATTATCCAGGCGAAGGACAACATTCGCAGTTGTAAATAACGCGTTGTGGGTGCCGCTTTCGGTGGAGCTCCCTATGGGGCCACGAAACGCGTGAAGGACGTTCCGTATTAGTGGGGGAGACGCATGCGGGCGGTGCCACTGGGGCCTTCGGTGGGGCTCCCTATGGGCCACGGAACGCTGTCCTGGGTGTGGCTGACGCATGTGGCCACCCCCACGGGGGCCCTTAGGTGGAGCTCCATATGGGGCCACGAAGCGCTGTACGTGGTGCGGCGGACGCATGTGGCCACACCCACGGGGGCCGCAGATGGAGTTCCAGATGGGGCCACGACACGCTGTGCTGGGTGTGGCGGACGCACGTGGCCACCCCCACTGGGGCCTTGCGAACTCCCAAATGGGGCCACGAAGCGCTCTGGCCACCCAGCGGTGGACTGGGTGTGGCGGACGCACGTGGCCACCCCGAGTGGGGCCTTAGGTGCAGCTCCCTATGGGGCCACGTTGCGCTGTACTGGGTGTGGCGGACGCATGTGGCCACCCCCGCAGATGGAGCTCCATATGGGGCCACGAAGCGCCGTACTGGGTGTGGCGGACGCATGTGGCCACCCCCACGGGGGCCCTTAGGTGGAGCTCCCTATAGGGCCACGAAGCGCCGTACGGGGTGTGGCGGACGCGTGTGGCCACCCCCACTCAACGCTGTATTGGGTGTGGCGGGCGCATGTGGCCACCCCCATTGGGGCCTTAGGTGGAGCTCCCTATGGGGTGGGGCCATGTAACGCTGTACTGGGTGTGGCGGACGCATGTGGTCACCCCCGCTGGGCATTAGGTGGAGCTCCCCATGGGGTCACGGAGCGCTGCACTGGGTGTGGCGGACACATGTGGCCACCCCCCACTGGGGCCTTCGGTGGAGCTTCCTATGGGGCCACGAAACGTGAGAGGGGTGATGATAATGGCGATGATGCTGATGATGGGGAGAGGGAGGGGGTGCAGCGGGAGGGGGGAGACGCAGGGACCGTCTCTTCAAAACGAAGACCCACCACAAGATGGTTAGGACAAGCTGTAATCCAAGCGAACCGTGCCGCGGCCGGAAAACCTAGGAAGCAACTCAATTCTATGTAAACTGACACGCGGGCCGCCTGGCGCGAATTGGCCTACGCACGCACACACACACACTGTCTGGCGTCGATGAGGCGTCCGCAACGCAGACACAAACACACACACACACACACACAAACAAAAAACACGCACACGCACACGCACACGCACACGCACACGCACACGCGCACGCACACGCGCACGCACTCACACACACACACACACACACATACACACACACACACACACACGCGACGCGCGCACTCAGCGAACGAGATCGCACAGCCACTGCACGGCAGCGTGCGCAGGAGGAGACACCGCAAAAAGGGCTATCGAGTGGTTTGGGGTACCCCACGGCTCTCCGAGCGTTTTTGAACACGTGTTCGGACGCAGTGGGAGGGCTGTGAGGCAGGTGTAGAAAAGGAGAGGAAGAGAAGAGACGCGATCATAAGAAGAAAGATAGTGATGAGGGAGAAGGAGGGGAAAGCACAGAAGAGTGGGCATGAGCAGGAGGGAGGAGGAGGAGGAGAAACAAATGACGGCAAGGGAGTCAGGATACAGGAGGCCCGAGGCAGGAAACCACAAGCAGGAAGCAGGAGACCAGAAGCAGGAGGACGGAGACTGAAGGCAGAACGAGGCAGCAGGCAGGGGGCATACAGGAGAGAGGAGCTAACGATGTGGAGGGGTGCATGATAGAGGGAGGTGGGGAAGAGGCTGGTTTTGAAAAGGCAAGGTACCTGCACACCGATGTGGTCTATAGGTGGGTATCGCATCACCCTCATGGGAGAACTGGGCGCAACGGCCTCGCGGCATCTGCTCGGAGGCGCGTCTGGGCGGGCCAAGCCCGCTGGATAGCAGTCTCGGCCGCGCCTATCATTGAATTAAAGATGTGTTTAAAATGTGTAAACATGTTCCAAAAAAATGTCAAACATGTTTTTTTACGCATTCAACACATGGTTTTAGCATCTTCCCGACATCTGGAAATTATCTGGCAACATGCTTCCTCTCCGTTAATCGACTTCCGCAGTGCCGTGGCAACTCGTGGGAGCCTCCCGTGCCATCTTGTTGGCTCCAGGCGGCGGAGGAAGGCGGGGCGGAGGCTGCCGGAGGAAAGCGGGATGCGCACAGAAGCCCCCGGGCAAGACGAGCCCCCGCCAAGGCTCGCGGACGGTGCACGGCGCGGCGCGGCGCGCATTGAGCGCGCTCCGCGGGCGGCAGGGGCCGGCCGCGATGGGCTGGCGTGGCGGCAGCGGGTCCCGAGGGGAGCTGGTCCCGGAGGCGGGTCTGAGCTGGATCGGAGCTAGGACGTGGATGACTTCGGGCGAGGATGTAAATCGCGAAGCTCCGAAGTCTGGCAGCTCTGGAGGACGTCTCAGGCGCCGCGGCCTTCTCGGAGCGACCTGGAAGGCTCTGAGAGCGTTCCGGAACGCTCTGGAATCGTCGGTGGACAAACCTCCCTTCAGTAAACCACCCTCTAGTGAAAACGGCCTTGGACCGAAACCGACGGACCTGGACCCGCAAGAACGACGGCCGCGACGCCCCCTCGCGAACCGAAAACTGCCGATTCGCGATTCGACGTGTAGGGGTAGGAGGCCTATCAGCCTCCGATGGGACGGATTTCTCCTCCTCCTGGCCTTCGGGGTTTTGGACGAGAAAAACAAGATAGTCAAGAAATGCTTCAAAATTCAAAATGGCCAAACAATCTGCAAAAAATCGCCCCTGGACAATGTTTTAGCTATTCTTGAACACTCACCCTGTCGAGGGACAGGCCCGACTTAATCCCGGCCCCGCCCGAGCGAGATCGGAGCGGGCCGCGCACGGGTCGGACCGCGCCTAAAAAGAGCGCCGCGGACCGGGCTCGGGGCCGGACATCGTGTGGCATCCCGCGGGTCGAGCGACCTGGAGCCTGTTTTTTTTTGGATTCAGGCAAAAATTTACTTGCATGGCGTTCGCCCCCGAATGCTAGCGTGCAAGAGCCTTTCCACTTGCGTGACTTCCGCGCCCCCCCGAACGCGCACGTCGTTTGCGGCTTGCTTCAGGCTCAGCCCCCCCCCCGTCCATGCAAGTAAACTTGCCAGAGTCTAAACCAAAACAAGCTCCTGGAGGGCTCTGAGAGCGCTCCGGAAGGCCCTGGAGCGGATCTACCCTCGCCCTGGTCCCGGCCCGAGCGTCCTGGACGACCTGGAGAGGACCGAGAGCGGGTTTCTCCTCGTCCCGGCCCCGCCCGAGCGTCCTGGACGACCTGTCGCGGACCGAGAGCGGATTTCGCCGCGTCCCGGCCCCGCTCGAGCGTCCTGGACGACCTGGAACGGACCGAGGGCGGATTTCGCCGCGTCCCGGCCCCGCTCGAGCGTCCTGGACGACCTGCAACGGACCGAGGGCGGATTTCTCCTCGTCCCGGCCCCGCCCGAGCGAGATCGGAGCGGGCCGCGCACGGGTCGACCCGCGCCTAAAAACGCGCCGCGAAACAGGCTCGGGGCCGGATGTAACGTGTGGCATCCCGCCGGTCGGGTGCTCTCGGCCCCCGCAGACACGCAGGGGGGGGGGAAGCGGTTCGCGTCGGCTCGGGCCGGGCCAAGATTCGAGTGGGGGACCGACCGCAGAATTGATGTACCCCGAAATTGATGTTTCGTCGCATCTACAGAGGGGAAAATAAAACGTTCGTGGGCTGCTGCGTGTTCCATCGGCGATTCGATGAAAAAACATATTTGGGGTACATCAATTCAGTATTCGATCTCCTACTCGAAAGGTCAGAATCGAAGCTTGGGGATCGGGTCGGATCGGGACCGCGAGCAGCCTTGCCAGGGCCTCTCCCTGGGACGAGCTCTTCATACTGAGTCGTTGTCTGACGGTCCTGGGGCCCCTAGGGGGGCCCCAAGAGCATGACGACGGCGAGGAACCTCAGGACCCGTCTATTTCATGGCGAGATGGGGCTCCTGGCCCCATCGCCATGCCTGCGGGCAGCATCCTCAGCTCACGCTCACGGACTTCTTCAGCTGAACTCGCGCATCTCCTGGGGAAACAACCACATAATTACCAATACCGCAACCCCCCAGACCTCTCCTAGGGCGAGGACTTCAGAGCGAATCCGACAACATCGGTACCACCACCTCCTCTGACCCACGGCCCTCCTCAGCTGAACTCGCGCATCTCCTTGATCAGGTCGATGGTCGGCTCGCCCTCCTTGCGCAGCTCGAACGTCACGGGGTAAAAGTGGTCTGGAATGCCTGGGGGCATGTTGATCTGGATGCCGCCGAGCAGGCACAAGTAGCCGCTTCCGAACTTGGTGTTGACGGAATTCATCATGGAATCCTGTCCGGGATCTGCAGACCCGGGCCAAGGCAAACCCGGGCCAGTCAGGCTTTGCAAGATCCTGCCAAATCCTGCACGCAAGCCAGAGTCTATGCACCCCTGGCTCTGCAGGATCCTGCAAGATCTGGCGATCTGGCTGACCCCCCCGTTTGCACTGACCCTCGTCTCTTGAGCCCCGATCTTAATGGGCGGCGCGTACCACGGGGTTGCGCGAAGGGGGGGGGCTTCTAAGAAGACAGAGGACTCTTCAGAAGGGCCTGGAGGTTGTTGGGAAGAAGCCCCCCTCGGAGGAGGAGGAGAAGGAGAAGGAGGAGAAGGAGGAGAATAAGGCGGAGGAGGAGGAGGAGGAGGGGCAGGAGGAGGAGGGTGAGGGTGAGGAGGAGGAGGAGGAGGAGGAGGAAGAAGGGGAGGAGGAGTTGGAGTAGGAGTAGGAGGAGGGAGAGCGGGAGGGGGAAGGAGGGGGAGGAGGGGGAGGAGAGGGAGGAGGGAGAGGAGGGGGAGGAGGAGGAGGAGGAGGAGGAGGAGGAGGAGGAGGAGGAGGAGGAGGAGGAGGAGGAGGAGGAGGAGGATTATCGAGGACTATCGAGCGAGGGGCTCCGCGGTCGGCTCGGCCGCCGCGGCCCCCGCGCGCGCCGACCGCGCGGGCGCTCGTGAGGTCGCGAGCCCACCCTAGAGACGGGGCGGGACTCCACCTCCCTGCCGCTCCCAGGAGCAGCACAAATCTGCGGAGCCGAGGCCCCGTGCCAGGCCGCGCAAACCGCGCAGGCCCGAGCCGCGCAGAAGTCGCGCAGCAGAGGTCGCGGCCCAGCCCCCTGAGCAAGGCGGGCCTCCTCCACCTCACTGCCGCTCCAAGGCATAATCTATCTGCGGGGCCGACGCCCAGTGCCGTGTACTCAACAACGCGGTCGTCGCCCAATTGCAGCACGTGGTAGCCGAGCGCCGTTCGGCGGCACCGTTCCGTCTGGCTAGTCCTGGCCCGCTTTTGGTGGTAGTCCTTGCCGTAGTCCACGTAGTACAGTCATGCCACTCGGGGTGACCTTTTCTCTGCACATAGCCGCCAGCAAATTGACTCTGCCATGTCCATCATCGTTGTGTGAAGCCACTGCCGCACAGTTCCAGCACGGAGAAGGAGTAGGAGGAGGAGGAGGAGGAGGAGGAGGAGGAGGAGGAGGAGGAGGAGGAGGAGGAGGGGGAGGGGGAGGAGGAGAGGGAGGAGGAGGAGGAGGAGCAAGAAGAGCAGGAGGACTCAGAAGGCCACACCCCCTCGCACCGTCACCCTCCCGCGCGCAAGCGCCATCCTTGACCATCTGGTAGGACTGGTGCGCCAGCGCGGCCATCGGGTTCTCCGTCCTCGAGATGGCCTCGCAGTGGGGCAGGATCTGGCGTTTGCAGAAGTCCTGCGCCACGAAAATCTATACACAGACAGCCTCCGACGAATTATTCTGCATGTGCCTTCAGGGAGGGCGGGGGTGTATGAAGTCGCTGGCTCTTAGTGGTGATTCACACACCGCCATCGCCCCCTGAAGCCTAGGAGCAGTCCATTGGAGAATGCCTGAGTATTTTTTTTGTGGCGGAAGTCCATCTGCATGTCGTAGCTCGACGCGTCCGAGCTGTCCTCGGTCCAGCCGCAGCGGCACGCGTTGTAGGCGCCGATCACCGCACCGCACGCCGAAGAGATCTCGGCCTGGCCCTCGCGGGGGATCTTGCCCACCTCGCCGTCGGGGGAGATGCCGACGTGGGGCCCGAAGGCGACCAGGATGTTGCCCTCGTCGGCGACGTGGCTGGGTCGGGTGTTGCCAAGGGTGGTCCCGGGCCCCCCAGATGTCCTCGGCCGTTCGCGCCGTCTCGGGGCCCCTTGGCCCCCCTGGGTCTCGCAAGGGGCGCTCTGGAGGCCATCTGGGCCTCCCCCGTGATCCTGGGGACACCTTCGGCCAAGGTCACCCCTGGCAACACCCAGCTGGAGAACGCAGCGAAGCCAGTGACGCCGGTGAACGGTGTGCCGCTGATGCCGCCCATGGGGAATACGTCGCCCCAGTAGTCCTGCATGTACACGGCCAGGCAGTCGGACCGATTGTTGATCTCGTCAGGACAAAACGAAGTCCCCAGCAACGTGTTCTGGGTGGTGTACCCGTACTTCCCGAGGATCTGCAGAGACCGGCGGTGGACCGCCTCGCCTGGAAGAGCGCCAGGGAAAAACCTGTGCAGCGATTTGTACACGGGCGACACTGCTGGCGGGCTCCACGTCATCCACGCAAACACCTCGCGCTGTGCCCCGACCGCTGCCCACGGCGACCGCGACAAGTCCTGCTGGATGGTCACGTTCGTGAATGTATCCATCAGATCGATGGTGTCTTTCCCCTCCTGGCGAACCTCGAACATGAGCGGAAGGAAGTGGTCGTCGAACTCTGGGTAGGGCATGTTCAGCTGGATGCCTCCGATCAGCACCAAACGGCCACTTCCAAACTTAGTGTTGACGATTCGCAGCATGCGGTCCTTGACCATCTCGAACGCCTGGTAGGCGCAAGCTGCCATCGGATCACTGGTCTTGGACAGCCTCTCCGCGTGCTGGGCGAACTCCTGCTTTATCTCGCTCATTTGCATGTCCGACTCGTCCATCTCGGGCGACGTGCCCGCTCCGCCGCAGAGGCACGCGTTGTAGGCACCGATGACGGCGCCGCAGGCAGACGAGTTGTCGCTCTGGCCCTCGCGCAGGTACTTGCCCACCTCGCCCTCCACCGAGATGCCGACATGGGGGCCGAAGACGACGATGATATCGCCGTTGTCGGACACGTGGCTAGAGAAGGCCGCGAAGCCGGTCTCGCCGACGTACGGTGCACCACCAATGCCGCCCATGGGGAAAATCAGCCCGTAGTACTCTCGCATCACCGAGGCCAGATCGCGTTGCTGGTTGTTGATCTCATCCGGACAGAAAGAGCTGCCCAGCAGCGTGCTGTCGGGCTTGAAGCCGTACCGCTCCTCCAACACGGTCCTCGAGCGGTTGTGCACGACCTTGCAGCGGGGGGGGGACCCCAACTCCCGACTCTGTGAAGTTTTCGGCTGGGCCAAACCATAGGGCGACGACATCTATACATATCCACTGCTCCCTGGCGAGGCCCATCCTGAACCCAGCAGCTGTGTATACGCTGCGCCCTCCTGGCGTGGCCAGGAGGGCGTATGCACAACTCCTGGGTTCAGGATGGGCCTGGCCAGGGAGCAGTGGATATGTATAGATTTCGTCGCCCGAAAACCAAGAGCCAAACTCGGGGATGTGCAGCGGGGTGGCACCCGTCCTCGATAGGGGTGCGCCCGAAGAGCCCCCTCGGGGACGCGTCCCGGGGCTTCCCCCCCCCTCCGACCCTCGACCTGTACCGCTCGCACCCTCCGCGCGGAGGGTGCGCAGTGTGCAGGTCGAGGGTGAGCAGCCTTGCTGCGTGGAGCCCAGACCCCCTCGAGTTCTGAAAAAATCACGACGGGAGGTTTTTCAGTATTTTGGGCCTCTGGGGGCCCTCACCGGCCCTCGGGACCGTCAAAAAACGACGCAGGACGAAGAACCGGTCCCGGGGAAAGGGTCCAGACCGCTGGGGGTCGACGTCATGAAAAATTCATGACGTCGGGGGTCTGGGAGGGGAGCTCGGGGACTCGGGGCCGGGGGCCGCCCCACGTGCCAGACCTTGGAGGGCAGGGCGTTGGGGAAGTGCTTCTGCAGGGAGGTCCAGCACGGCGTGCCCGGCTGCGGCGACTTGCCCAGCCAGTGGAACACGCGGTCCTCGCGGGCCGGAGACGCCGCTCTATCCATGGCCTCGCGGGCCTGGGCCCCTGGGGGCCGGGACCCCGCAGGTGCGAGGCGCTGAGGTCCAGGGCGGATGTCCCGCGCGGGACGTCTCCATGCGACCGTGCATCCGCGGGACCGCGCCCTGGACCCGGAGCCCCGGCGTCATGATTTGCTCCATGACGTCGGCCCCAGTCTGGACCAGGAGGGGGAAAGGGGAGGAGGAGGGGGAGGGGGAGGAGGAGGAGGAGTAGGAGGAGGAGGAGGAGGAGGAGGAGGAGGAGGAGGAGGAGGAGGAGGAGGGGGAGGAGGAGGAGGAGGAGGAGCGTTTCAGCCCCAGGTCGTTTTCTGACGCTGCCGAGGGCCGGCGAGGGCCCCCAGAGGCTGGACATCGCGAGGCCACCCCGCCGTGGATCTGTCCGAAAATCACCAAAAAGGGCCCTGGGGACTCCGGACCGCGAAGGAGACCGTTTTTTTGAGTCGGCGATAACCCAGGTTATCCCGAGGGGGGGAGGAGGAGGGGGCCGGCCGATAACCTAACCCTCGCGCTGTGGGCAGCCCAACACCTGCCCGCGCCCCCCCTCCCGCGGACCTGCACAACCGGCAAGGTTGGGTTGTCCTGGTGGGGGGAGGGGGTGCGAGCCCGATGACCCGGGTTATCGCGCCCGACCCTAAAACAAAAACAGTCTCAAGGCGTGGATGCGGATACCGTTCGCTGCGCGCGAGGTCCTGCGCCGTCTCCTCCAGCTCGCGGCCGGCGGGCAGACACTGGAAGGTGGCATCGGCCCCGGCCCGCTCCAGCACCTCGGCCCGCGAGGCGACCCGGGCCCGCCTCCTGCGGGGAGGGAAGAGCCAGCCGAGGCGGCAGAGGCGTGCGAACAGATAGTTTCCTTGTTAGGCAGCTTGGAGGGCCGCTGCACGATGCCAGGACTCGCACGCCAGTGGAAGGAGATCCTACTTAACACTCGACTCGAGTAGCAAGCGCCTCGCTGTCAAGCTCAAGAGGCGTGGTCCCTGCAGACGGGTCGATCAGCCCGCCCCCCCCGACGGACCAAGGACGGGGCTTCCGCGGCCGCCCGGACAAAAGCCGAAACTCTCAAGAGATGTCTGACCTCCTCAGCCCTCCCGCCTCCCGCTGGGGCCTATGGCTCGTCCGTCTTTCAGGGTCCGAAAGGTGCCCCAGCGCGTGAGTGGGCCCCTGGGGCCATCGGAGGATGAGAAGCTTCAGTGGGGCGCCAGCTGGCTGGCCGATTCCGTACCATTATAATCCCACCAGCCCTTTGGGCGACGGGTGGTCTAACGAGATTCCTCTTCCCTCTTCCAAAAAAAACCTCTTCTCCTACGGGGAAGAGTTTACCCCTCCCCTTCCCCCTCCCCTGGACTTTTTCGGGCCCCCCCGCGAGGTGTTAGGGCGTCCAAAACGGCCTCGACGAGGAAGCCACAATCATTAGTTTTACTGAGGTTTTGGCCCTATTTTGGCTTCTTTGGGGGGGGGCTGAAAAATTGTTCACCAGCCCTCTGGGCGCCAAAATCATTGGTTTTTACTGCGGTTGTGGCCCCACGTTGATCTCTTTTGGGGGGGGTGAACGTTATCCCACCAGCCTTATGGGCGCCCGAATCATTTGTTTTACTAAGGTTTTGGCCCCATGTTGGCCTCTTTGGGGGGGGCTCAACGTGATACCATCTTCTCTTTTGATCGATGGCCTTCAATTTGGCCTCAAGGGGCCTTCCAGGGCTCCCAAGACGGCCCCAAGAGAACCCCAAGAGGGCTCCAAGAAAGCCCTAAGACGGCCCCAGAGGCCTCCAAGACGCCCAAGATGGCCTCCAAGACGGCCAAGATGGCCCCAAGATGCCTCCAACACGGCCCAAGATGCACCCAAGACGGCCTGAGATGGCCTCCTGATGGCCTAAGACGGCCCAATAAGCCCCCAAGAGGCCTCCAAGACTGCCCAAGAGGCTTACAAGAGGCCCTCCAGGAGAGCCCGAACAGGCCAAAATCATTGATTGTCCAAAGGTCTTTGAAAGACTTTGGCATTTGCTTCTTTTCGGCATCCCGACGGCTCAAGACAGGCCGAGAGGCCCCCAAGATCGCCCCCGAGGCCTCCAAGATGGCCCCATGACGGCTCAAGAGGCCCCCAAGACGGCCCTAAGAGGGCCCAGGAGGCCTCCAAGACGGCCAAAATGGCCCCAAGATGCCTCCAAGACGGCCCAAGATGCACACATGACGGCCTAAGATGGCCTCAAGATGGCGCAAGAGGGCCCAAGAGGCCCCCAAGAGGCCTCCAAGACGGCCCAAAAGGTGTCCAGGAGGTCTTCCAGGAGGGCACGCAGAGGCCAGAATGACTGATGTAGGTTTTTGAAAGATGTTGGCGTTTGCTTCTTCTCTGCATTCCGACGGCTCAAGATGGCCCCATGACGGCCCAAAAGGCCCCCAAGACGCGTGCGCAATCGTGTTCGGCTGCCCGGAGCTGGTGGACGCAGCGGAGGTCTTCCTTAAGCAGCTCTACCAGAGGCACAGGGCGGGGCAGGTGGCGCCCAGCCAAGCCAGGGTGGGGCCATCGAGCGGGAGGCAGACGACGAGCCAGGCCAGGGCACTCTGCCCCTGGCAAGCTTGGACTGGACCATGCTTGACTAGCGCGACAAGCTAGCCCTGGACGCCGAGACCGTTGAGGCGCTGGACGGGCTGCAGCTCTCGACGCAGGGTGAGCCGCCAGACATCGAGCTGCGCGAGTGCGCCATCCTCAACGCGGCGGCGGCGCACATGGTTGGCAACGAACATGCCCTGCCAGGGGGCTGGCCGTCAACGATCGAAGTCCATGAGGAGGGCCTCAAGTTCCGGAAGGAGATGCTGGAAGCGGCTAGGCAGCGGAGGGCGCTCTCGGAGAGGTCCCGGGCCTGCTTGCGCAAGCAGGGGCGGGCCTCCGCATTTTCTGTCACGACCTCGCGCGCAGGGGCCAATGACAAGGACTGCCGCGTGCACGCAGCGCTTCCGCCGCACCTCTTGCGAAGCCAGACCCCGTGCGCCGCGCGGGTGGACTTCTACGGCAGGGCGGCGGTCGAGCTCATCGTCGGCTCCGAGTTCACGCGTCAGGAGGCGGACATTCTCTGGGTCTCGCGCACAAGGGCCACATGCGAGCCCTGGTCACGCCCGCCGAGGGCATCATGGGCCAGCTGCACGGCGCGGGGATCGACGTCCAGGAGCTGCCAGCCCTTGGTTGGGAGGCGCTACTCGAGCTGGCACTGACGACCAGATCACCTCCAGCTGACCCAGGAGCGCTGGCGTGCCAGGGATGCGCGGAGGCAGCGGGCATGGCAATCGCTCGGAGACCAGCGTCCGTCTTCCTCGTCGGGCTGCTGATCGAGGAAACCCTCGTCAACTCCGCCCTGCTCCTGGAAAAGGCCGCGGCGGGCGAGGTTGAAGAGGATGCGGAGGTTCAGGTCGGCAAAACGGGCGGGATGCAGGCTGGGCCGACGGACGACGAGCTTCGCGACTGGCTCGGGGCCCAGGCCACGGCGTTGCCACAGGGGGGCACCGCTTCGATTCACTCGAGAACTTCACAGGCGAGGTGCGCATTTCGCAGGCAGTGGCGCAGAAAAAGGGGCCGTGCGATCAAGATCGGGCTGCAGCGCGGGCGGGTCTCTCGCCGACGTCGGAATCGGCGGCTGCTGCTGGCGCTCGTGGACCTCTACGACCGGTGCGAGACCTGGCTCAGTTGGCCATGCACGGCTTCCGGCGCCTTCGCGGCGCTCCACGAGTCTCGAGGAGTCGACCTGTCGAGGGCGCAGCGGGAGGGCGCGAGCTTCCCGGCGCTCGCCGAAGAGAGATCGCGGCCGAGCGAGCCGCCATGCGCAGGGGCTGGCTCGGCCGAGGGCCCCGGGCCGGGAAACCCTGGTGGGAGCTCGGGGCGATGCTGAAGGGGCCCGTTTGGGCGGAAACAGGAGGAGGGAAGGGGAGGAGGAGGAGGAGGAGGAGGAGGAGGAGGAGGAGGAGGAGGAGGAGGAGGAGGAGGAGGAGAAGGAAACAGGAGGAGGGAAGGGGGGGAGCAGGTGGAGGAGGAGGAGGAGGAGGAGGAGGGGGGGGAGGTTGGACCCGCGCGCCCTCGACCTGCGCAGGCGCCGCGGGCGGCCTGCGCCTCGGGCCGACGCGCATCGCCTCGGCGCCCGAAGACGTCGCGGCGGCCGTTGAACCTGCGACGCTGCGCGGGCCGCGTACGCGACGCGGTCGAAAAAGGCCGCCGCCATGCGGGGCGGGACCTACTGCTCGCAGGAGGTGGCCGAGCTCGCGGCCAACGCGGGTGTGCTGCCGCGGGCGGAGGCGGTTTCTGCGCGAGCGGGGAAGAAGGGCGCGGCGCGGAAGGGGGGATGGAGCACCAGCGCGAGTACGAGGCCGATGTGGCATCACAGCAGCAATTCGGCCCCTGACTTCCGTCCTGGGTTCGGTTTAGTGGAGTGATGAATTTCGGGGTCCTAACGTGGAAATAAAAAATCACTTCACTAATCTGGGGCCCCTGGGGCCTCAGTGGGCCCTAAGGCCCAAAATTAGTGAAGTGATGGTTTTCGGGCCTCGGAGCGAGGGGGGCAGCTATCTGGGGGGCGCCGGTGGAGGCGAGAGAGTGGAGTCTACTCGCGCGGGGGGAGTTGGGGGCGAGCCAAAGCCCGAGCTCGAGGACGTGGCAGCGGGGGCATGCTACGATTTTCTTCCAGAGCACGCAGAGTATTGGAGGCCTGGGCATTGGCGCCGCCACCGCCACAGGGGGTTGCCCCCACATGGGGAAAATTATCCTAGATTTCGGTGTTGGTGGCAACATTCCGGTCACCTTGGAAGCCAGAGTATTACCGCCATCGCCGAGATCGGGATCTTATTCCCTCAGTGGAGGCACACCGCCGATATCGGTGTTGGCGTCATCCTCTAGGCCTGCGAGAGCACGGCTGGCGAGACGGGGGGGCGCCGTGCTGGAAGAAGCGGGGTCACTCGAGAATGCCATCGCGGCGCTCCGGGGGGCCTCGTGGGAGAGGCACGGCTACCACCTCAAGGGTATCTTCGACAAACAATTGGAGCCGCTCGTACGGGGCGCGCTCCTGGAGCATGCTCGGAAGGCGGCCAAAGAAGTGGCTCGGACGAGGTTTAGAAGCGCGAAGACCAGACTCAAGGCCCTGCCGCATCCCAGCGCGAAGGACCACTTCGACGAGGTCTCGACGAGGTCATGAACGCACACTGGAAAGACGTCGCCAAGCGGAGGGTCTTGATATGCACCAGCGTCCACGAGCAGCTGCTCAGCAAAGTAGCGAGCGCCCCGATGGCGAGGGTGCCCAACCAGTACCCAGATGGCACCATGAGCGACAGGGGCAGGCTCATTTGGGGTGGCACGGTACCCGACAAGAACTACCCTAAGGACGGCCTCCCCCCCGGCGGACCTGCCGAAGCATGAGGATCTGGCTCGCGTCGTCCTGCATTTGAAAAGCCCGACTGCGGGGTGTGGAGATATATCTGGCCAAGAAGGACGTCAGGGACGCATTCAGGTGGGCAGTGATGCACGAGATGGCCGCCTGCATCTGCGGTGTGGACCTCGAGGCAAGTGGGGCGCGGCAGTCCTCATCGCGGCGGTCCGCGTGGTCCTGGCGTTCTGTTGAACGGGCAGCCCAGGCGAATGGATGATCTGGGCGTGGGTGGCCAAAGTGGCGTCGCGCAGCCAACCGCCCGGCCGACGCGCGCGGGGGCGCCGCCGCCCTTTTCCGCGGCTTCTTTCTGATGGGCGACCAGGTGCTCGCGGAGCCGGGCGTCGGCGCAAGGGCGGCGCAAAGCGGCGCCGCAGCCCCGGGGGGCGCTCGGATCTG